CTAATACTATAAAAAAATCACAAGAGAAATATTTCTAATGAATAGACAACATGTACTTCTCTGAAGATTCTGTAATATTTTAATAGAGAAATACGAACTTGAAATCATCAAATTTCATGCTTCACTTTTTTAAAATACATCCAACAAACAATATTCTACATGGAGGAGGAATATCAGTCAGCAAGAGGTTTGACTAAATGAGGTGTCTAACTTATTTTCTCCATACCCAAAGATCAAATCAATATAAAAAAAAAAACAAACAGCTATTTCTACTGGAAAACTTCTGAAGATTGAGTGCACAAATGCTCTGTGGCTCTGATGGAGACAATATGAAGCAGAAAGACATAACTAAAAAACAAAAAATCCCCACAATTATCAAGAAATAAAACTTTATAAATCATATATGTGGAAAATGTACAAAACATGCATTTGCATAACCAGTCAGTAATGATATAAAGAAAAATTATAAATTTTTATAAAGCATGTTTCTAATTTTTTCATGAAATTTACATAAAATATTATAAAATATGTTTTAAATTCACTTAAAAATATAATATAATCAAAAGTACACAATTTTACCAAAAAAGATTCACATAGCATCAGGACTATGTTTAAATTTTATGTCAAACCTTCCATACTATTCTGAAGACAGAATTCGGAATTTTATATAAACAAATATTTCAGGTTTGCCATCTTTGTGTTGTGCTATACTATTTCGTTTAAGTCTAAAGAAACCACAACAGAAAAGAATGTGTTGTTCTAGTGATTATAAAAATTATATCTCTTAAATCTAATGTAATTGAGATAATGATTGCAATCACCAGCCATGAATGTGAAAATCATTAGGTGTGAAAAAGCTCCAGACAGCCGTAAGTCTTAAGCTGGTCAAAAATGGGTTTTAAATGTAGATTAAAAGAACTAAATTAAATCCTGGGTATATAAGCTTGGATATATCATCAAAGATCCTAAGATGTAAGGCATAATTAAGGAAATTATAACATTATTAGTCTTCTCAGTAAAGAACGTCCTTTATATAACATGTAAATATATTTTCTGACTTACATTTAAATTTCCATTGTTTTTATAAGTAGGCTCAAGGGAACACTACTGTATAGAATGTTATACTGTATATAATTCAGTAGTGAACACAGAATTTTCACATTCCTTCCATGTTTGTTGTCAACTTTACAAATGAAGAAATTGTGGAATCTTGCTCAAGATAATAATATTAGTTAAGTCCTTATTAATTAGTGTTGTGTCTCTACTGGAGCTTGAAATCAGGGCGTGGAATGGTCCCTTAGCTTCTCACACAAGTATAGCACTCTACCATCTAAGCTACAATGCCATTTCCAGCATTTCAGTGATTAATTGATGATTAAAAAAAAACAACAACTTTTCTACCTAGACTGGCTATGAACTCCAGTCCTCAAATCCCAACTTCCTGAGTAACAAGGATCATAGTGCTTGGTTTCAAGTCTTTATCTTTTTGTATGCCCAGACCAGTCTTTTTCCATCATAATCTTTCCTTTTGTAAAGAAACAAGCAAACAAAAGTACAATTTCAGATAGAAAATTTTAGGTTTAGGCAACTTAAAGAACAACCATAGAATTGATATAGCAAAGACATAAAATGTCAAAGGTGTCTGGAATGTTGAGAGAGAGGGAGAGAGAGAGAGAGAAATAGAGAGAGAGAGAGGGAGGGAGAGGGAGAGGGAGAGGGAGAGGAAGATAGATATGTAAACATGTATGCTTTTTATATTTTATATATATTATATGTATATATTCTGTTTATATATGTAAGTACAGTATATGTATATGTCTTTGTGTGTATATATGTGTATATATGTGTATGTATACACACACACACACACATATATATATATATATATACTTTTTCTGACTAAGAGGGTCCATGAGTCATTTGAAAACATCAAATAATATGAACAATGGGATAACAATGTCTTTTAAGTGTCAATCTGGCCCCTTAATAGCAATCGCTAACGTTTTCTTTTATATGAAGGTTCAAGAGGAATGTGATGTAGTTTGAAGTCTCGATTTCCTCTCCTTGTTTCCATCCTTTGCTTCCAAGGAATAGAGCATCTGTTGCCAATTAGGCTCATCAGCGCTCTACCGTGGAGTCCCTGCTGATGCACCCGCTCTTGTTAGTGGATCAGCTGGGGCATATGGATGATTGAGATGGGATTTTAACCTCCGCCCTGCCAGGGTCCTTGCAGGATCCCTCCATCCCACTATGATGATCTTTGAGACTAAGCACATATGCACACCAGGGCTCTGATGCCATGGTAACCAGTGGGTGAAGAAATCATTAAGAGCACCAAGTAGTTGTTGGAACTTCTACACATTTTCATGGCTACCAGCTGAGAGATGCAAATACTGTTTTCCAAACACTACTTACAGCTATTAAAAGTCATCAGGACGCAGTAATTTACCAGGATGCACTACTTCAGATGGAGATGGAAACGATATTTCAGTTTGTAATTTTATAAACATTGACAGAAATAATCAGTCATCATGTATTCTGATTTTTTTTTACCTGTCTTTTCCAGGACATTCAAACATTCACAGGTAATATTAAACTTTGTAAGTGATGAGATATTCTTCTAATTTCCCAACAATTTGTATATTCATTTGTAACATAAGAACTCATATGTACATATAGAACTATTAATTTTTGAGGCTCATGTAAGTTCACATTAATTCTAGTCCATTTAATAAATAAACATTTAAATCTATGGCTTTTAAAATTGATATACAAGAGAGAAAAACATGACTAAATGTGACCTAATCCCATTGGAGTTACTTTATTACAAGATTTTCCAATGTAAAAGAACCTTTTAAAAAAGTTGATCGTTTTCCACACTATTCTATCTCTTACATGCTCCATGAGACACAGCCTGGAATGGCTTATCACATAGTGAATTTTTAATGTGACCATGCAAGCAGAGACTGGATATGAAGTTTTATACACATACCTGTATATACTCATTGAAACTGTTATTTCAAGTGAATTTATTCATACCCAGGAAATCAGTTTAGCATCCTAATAAGCAAACTATGAAGCCTGACAATAAACCAAAAAGAGAAAGAGAGAGAGAGGGAGAGAGAGGGAAAAAGAGGGAGAGAGAGAGAGTAAAAGGGAGACAGAGAGAGGGGGTTATTTTTAATGTTTATGGCTTTCAAAAGTATTCTATTCATGGGGAAGAGAATTAGCACATTAGTGATTCACATTAATCATATTCATTAGTGGTTATACCTTTCAAAATGACATCTGAAGAGCCTTCTGCAAGCTGTCTCAAATCATTTTGGTATAAAGCAGGTAATAAGTTGGAATATAATAGGGTATGGCTATTAGATTAATTGGGCACACATTTGATTTCAAGAGAAAAAAACACAAAGGAAAGAAACACATGCTGAAAAAATGTTTACTGTAACTGAAAACTACATGCAAGCTCAAGAACGAATTGCTGTTACAGAAAAAAAAACTAAATCTATAGCAGCTTTCTTAAATATCTTCTGTTTTCAAAATGGATAATATAAATAAAAGCACAAAAAATATCTACTGACAAGCTCATCTATAGTCTTTGAAAATTAAATATCCTGTAGTTTACAACTAGTGATTTTAGGAAGCCTAGTAAGCCCTGAATCTGCAGGAATGTCTGTTTAAGACAAAATACCATTCATTTTTGAGAGGAAAAAAAGTTTTGTCTCTTCTGAGCATATTTATTGCCCACAACTCTGCAAATTTTGGAAAGTTTCTTAATCATGACAGAAAACAATGTTGTCATTTTAATACCTGCTCTAAGAATAAATGATCCTTTTTTAAACCAATTTCACTCTAGGTCAATGCCAAAGAATTCAACAATGCATTGATTGACATTCACCCCATGCTTTCTCTGATATTTGAGAGAGCCCATCTACAAGATATGTAAAATTTCTATTTCCCTAAGCCTTGACCAGATTCCTGTACTATAACATCTGGGCTCTATTATCTCACCACAGTTACGCCTTCACAGTTAAGATGTAAAGCTGGGTCTAGCTTTACATCCACCGTCTTCCACTGGAAATATCACTTTAAAAGGTTCATAACTTTTGCAATCCTGCTGTCAAAGATATTTGTATATTAAATTATGTTGTATTTCTTTTAGAACCAGCCAAATGATTGATTTTTCTTGTAACTTAGTACTTGGAAAGCCTTCTTCTGCAAATGAAATTATGTTTCTTTATATGATAAAAAGTATATATATATATACACACACAGAGCTGTGTTTGTGATTGTTTGTTTAACTTTGGCTCCCAGGAATTTGAAGGATAAGCTCATATTCCATAAATACAATTAATCATGCGAGCAATGGAACAATGGTCTTTCTCTTTTGTAAAAAATATGAAGTGTTTAGTTTTTTTTAACTATCTCTTTGCTTCTGATTCCTTTAAGAACATGATCAAAATTTTGAAGCAGAGATTAGTTACTACACACATGAAGTAAATGTCATCATTCAATGTCTTTAATAATACTATAAGCATTAGATTAAAAATTCTACTTTGAAAGTAATTTTAATTTATCTTTATTTTGCTGAAATTTTGTGTAATATTTCAGGGTTGTTTAGGACTTCAGCAGAAATGAGATATACATTTTAAGTTAGTAATTTTAATGCTAATGAAATAAATAAGAATGACAATACAATAATACCAACAATCATCCTAAAACATAAAGACATGTAAGCTGCTTTTATGATATTATTCTATCCCTTCTTTGAAGAGAAGAGAACCGAGCTATGGTTGCTGTCACAAATAATCTTAGCTAGTCAGGAGCCTGAGATATGAGCATCAGAGTTTAAAGCCAGCATAGTTTTAGCATTAAGTACATACAAAAGTGTCTTATGTTTTATATTGTCAGACCAAAATCAACACAAAAACTTTGGGAAAGAGTAGGATTAAGTATACATATTTGGCTTATAGTAAGTCAACTGATTTTTAATCACCTTTTTGCTCTTGACCATCTTTATAATTATGATAAAAGTACCAGATGTAATGCCAGAAAATGTATGGGCAATAGTATTTCTCAAAAGTTTTTAATATTTTTAATGGAGAAATTTACTATTTGTGGAATCAGGGCTATTAACATAAAGGCTGGTAACATAGGTTTTAAATTTCAGCCAATCAGGATTCTAAGTGATAAATATGGACTACCCCAAATTTAAAAGACAGAATTTTGTCTTTTAAGTTACTCTTTAAATTTTAATATCCTGCTTATGACAAATATTTGATGTAAAATTGGAATGTTTAAAAACATTTACATACTAAGACAGAACTACATGAAAAGTATATTTCATAGACACACACACATATGACATTAGGGAAAGGTATACTTGATTAAAACAAAGTGAACAGAATAAAAAACAGCCCTAAAAATTGACCTTTTATTTTAATTGAATAAACCTTGTTAATAATAATAAATAAATAATAAAGCCAGCATAGGCAGTCAATTCATGAGACTTTTATCTAAAAATAACCAGCAAAACGCTAAAAGTAGGTATGTGACTTATCTGGTACAGCACTAGTCATAAACAAATTTGCTGCACAAGACTGTAAGGCCTTAATATCAATTCAAATAGCAGCATGTGTGTGCATGTGCACACACACACACACACACACACACAGATACATGTATATATAGACACACAAACAAAAAGAAGAAAAAAGAAAGTAAAAGATCAAAAGAAAGAGAAAGAAAAAAGACTTAAAAACTGTAGACCAAGAAAGTAAACGGAAAATGATTTTTTTAAACAAAAAATTAGGCAATTTCTCCACACTCTCTTCACTGTCATTCTCTTGCAAGCTGTGGATACTTCAACACACAACAGGCCTTGGACTCTTCAATTGTTCATTCTACACCTTGATATGGATGGAATCCTAAGAATTATTTTGAATCAATGCCCAGATCCAAGATTTAGAAAACCAATGCTCACTTATAAACAAAATCAGATGTGTGTGCTTATTGTGCTTCCTTGCTGCTTGCTACACTAAAATGCTCTCCAAAGTCACAGGTATCTGTTGCCACTCTGCAGCTCAATTATCACTCTGGTAATGACTGCTTACAAAGCAGCTCCTTGACTTAAATATTTCCTGTAGCATCCAATGCCCCCTTATGTCATATGTTTAAAAAACATATGACTTAAAGATAATTTGTTATCTGAGATTGAAGGAAAGAAGAAAATATATTATTTCTGCATGAAAATAAAAAGAGACCCCCCTAGTCAACCCTTAGTGTCACATGCAATACAGCATGTGAGGAGGGCACTTCAGAACATAGATCACTTTCCAGCCAACCTCATCACAGGTTAGATTTCTCCCTTGTTTCTCTCTTTATAATCAGGACAAAGACAATCTTCTATTATCTACTATTCTAGCACCATGTTTTATACATATTGTTCATATTCCTGAATATGTGTGAAGAGTTGATAAGGAAATTAAAAGCACAGACCAGTCTTACAATGGAGAAGCGCTTGGTGTTTACATTTTGTTATTGTTGTTGTTGTTTTCTTTTTTTTGCCAGTCCTGGGGTTTGAACTCAGGACCTGGGCACTGTCCCTGAACCCTGAACTTCTTTTGCTCAAGGTTAGCACTCCACCACTCTACATACAGCACCACTTCCAGCTTTTTCTGTTTATGTGGTACTGAGGAAACAAACCCAGGACTTCATGCATGCTAGGCAAGCACTCTACCAGTAAGCCATATTCTCAACCCTTACATTTGTTTATTATGGTAACAAAGTGTCTCAAACCCAGAGACTTAAAACAATAGAGATGGTTCTAGGAGTGTAGCTAAGTGGTTGATTACATACTTATAATGTGCCTGCTTCTCAATGATACACACACACACACACACACACAAACAAACAAACACACCAAACACACAAACTCTAATGGAGGGCAAGAGGCAGAGCCCAATATTCAGGGTGTCAGCAGGGTGAGTTTCCATCTGGATGTTGCAAGAAGGAATCTGTTCCTGGTTTCTCTCCTGGCTTTTGGAAGGTTACTCTTAATGTTCCTTGACAGTAAAGCCACTAACACAACCATGTTCACTGCAGCACTATTCATAATAGCCATTGTATGGCATCAGCTCAGGTGCCCCTCTGGGGATGAATGGATCAAGGAAATGTGATATAAATACAAAATAAAACTTTACTCATCCGTTAAAAAAATGGTATTGTACCATATGTAAAGAAATGGAAAAAACTGGAAAAAATTACATTAAGTAAGTCAGTCCCAGAGAGAAAAAGGGAGCATGTTTTCCTTTTTCTAGGGAAGTTAGATTTAGTTTACAACCTTATAAGTAAATGTGTAGAGTTGTATGTAAGCGTATACCAATGTATTAACTGAAATACAGTAGATTCAAGGGAAAAATTGTGAATAGTGTAATTCCTTAAAAAGGCAAAATCAAAGTTCACCAAAATAAAATACCATGAAGCAGGTAATCAAAAAGAGTAGAATGGCGTCAAGGGGGAAGAAGTGGACAAATGAAGAGGAGAGGGAGGGAATGCAGTCAAGAATCCAGCAGCCTCCAAAATTAAAAAGATTGAGGGAAAGAGTGGGGATGGGGAGGATGTATGACAATGTTGAAAGAGGTGACATTGATCTAGATATACTGCATTTAGTTTTAATAAATGTCATGGCCTTTTCCAGGAAAAAAAATCCAAGTTCTACCTCACCTTCACAAGATGTTTATGTGCTTTGGATTTCTCCTTTTCATAAGGACAACACTGAATTTAAGGTATACTTAACATTATCTATGGTGATCTATTATCTTTACATCTACAAAGATCCTTGTTCTAAATAATGGCCCATTCTGTGTTTCCAAATGAACACAGTTCGGTTTTCAACTGTATGCAATCTTCTTAGCAATTTTACTCTTAAAGTAAAACTTTATTTACTTAAAGTTTTAGCATCACTTCTTTTCCTTGCTGGTACTGTTGCTGCCTTTATAACATCTCTAACAGACAAATTTTTAAACTGACTGTGTTAATGGTATTCTTTTAAAAAACAAGTAAATATACTTGCAGAAGAAATTTTTAGAAAATATGGAAAATTACAAAGGAGAAGAATTTTGTTTTAAACTTCAATAATCAAACTTCTTAGAGTGAAGGATCCTCATTACATTCACATAAATGTTTTTCCTGGCTCATTCAAACATCTGATTACTAAAAGTTTGAAGCTGTACTGTACACATTTCTTATACAACAATTTACATTATTCTCAATACTTTTATTTTAATAGAAGAATGTGTTGTTTCCTTAAGTCAGATGTAGGTAGTATCCATATTAGCAGCTCATAATCTTTCAGTCTGTATATTGGGGCACTTTGCAGATGGAAGAGGGACCCTCAAGGAAAAGTGTCTTTGAAGTAAACCATCCTAATGCAGTCACAGAAGAACCTCATAGGAAGTTAGTCAAAAACTCTTTCACTCTTACAAGCTACTATGGAAGTTCCAAATGAGCAAGATCTCAGAAGAGTCAACAAAAATAACTCAGAAGAAATATCATATGGTCTTACCATGCAAAGACTGGCAGCCACAATATCTCAGTACCAGCGGGAGTACATATTTCCTACAACCCTTGCCTCTTCTCATTCCTGGAAGAGTTAGAAACAGTTGGGCAATACCCTTTCTGTGCTTCTGAGTAAAGGAATAAAGGGAAATTAATTGAATAGGAGAGAGAGATAAAAAAAGTCACTAATCTAGTGCCACAACTTTTGTTATGTTTAAGAGAAGTACACAGCTAAGAACTAGAAGGCATTTGATGATGAAAATAGAAAAACAAGATTCAACAGAAGCTCCTATAAATTTTGAGAGAGTTCCTAATTCCATGCTCATAATTTCAGTTTGTTTAACAAACAATTGTGTTCTTTTTTATTCTCCTTGATTCAGATGAACTCTAGAAGCAATGTACCAACTTGCAAAGATCTCTATGGTGATTTTGAATACTTTTTCCTTGTTTTTAGTTCTATGGAAAACACAGTTATAAGTCACAAAATTTCCATATCATCTATAAATTTGCAAAAATTTACACAAAAGAGATTTATATATTACTTTTTGTCTAAGATTGTCATACTCAGATTCTAAATTTCACACATCTTAAATGTTTCTTAGGCTCAGAACTTGAGTCAGAAGTACAGATATTGTGTCAACAAAATCATGTGGAAAATTCTTTCTAATTAGTAGCTGATAAATGATTAATATACTGGAAAAATATAGAATATGCAAATATTTTTACTGCAAATTGTAACTATTTTTCCATTAACAATTTATTTTGCACTTACTTGCAGAGAGTCATTGTGAACTTACGTTTTAATGATTTCTGAGGTCTTTAAATCTTTACTCTCAAAAGTCTATATCTAATAAAACAAGCAAAGATAAAAATACATGTAATAAAAAGCAAGAAAATTGGATGCAGTCAGTATGAAAACAAAGTTTTGTGAGAGAGAAGAGGAAGTAATTAATTTTTATTGAGGGTAACATTTCTACTCTGAAATGAAGAGCTGGTATGTTCACAGTCTGGTAAGATTTATCTTTTTAGGTTGTCTAGATAGGTGGTCTACCAATTAACACACAAAGTAAGTTTTACTTTCTGCCATCGTGATTAAATGCATCTTGAAAATTATAACCTCAATTTTAAGCTCACACATTGGTTCTAATGTAAAGTACATTTCTTTCAGGGATATGCTGCCTGTAACAACTGCTTGTTCTTTGTATCTGGGTGCCAGTGGTTCATACCTGTAATCCGGGCTACTTGGGAGTCTGAGATCTGAGGACTGTGGTTATAAGACAATGGGGCAAGAAAATCTGTAAGACACATCTTCAATTAACCATAGAAGTTCTAGAAGTGGAGCTGCGGCTCAAGTGGTAGAGTGCTAGCCCTGAACAGATAAGAAGGCTCAAGGACAACGTCCAGGCCCTGAGTTCAGACCTCAGAGCTCCACGTCTCGTGTTTCGTCTTTAGTTTTGATACTTAGCATAAGCTCAGGATACAGCACAGAATAAACATTCTTTCCAATATACCTTAGAAAAACAAATACTTTCGCTTCATTCCATTTGGAGTAGTGAGACATGGTACATTATTCCAAAAGCAATAATGGTAAAATCTCTGTGTCCATTTGTGTTCCAAAGGGTTACTAAAGGTGGATAAGCTATTTTTAAGGACATATGTGACCATTTTTAATACAACCCACACTCTCTAAAGATTATAGTCTACGAAGAATTATTGTTCTTACTTAGAAAGACTATTAAACTTCTGAAAAAAGAATTTTTATAGGTCTGGAATGTTCCATGTCTATGTGTCACAACGCAGTGCCATATATCACCTAGAAATAACATTTCCAGAAGTACTAGTGCTTAGAAGGTGCTTTTACCCCACTGAAAGAGGTCCATTTCTCCTAGTATAAGTAGCACATTCCAATAGATAAATCTGAGTTTACAAAACACATAAATTAGAAGGTAATTATTTAAGCTGCAAATGATTCACTGCAGGATTCCTTTAAGACTACCATCGAGTTTAAGTAATTGTTTACAGTTCATTAACTACTTCATGGCGAGACCGAAGGGAATGAGAAAGCTTTCATACTAAAAAGTTCTTAAGGCCAACAAAAAATAAAATAACTAGGGAATTGCAATGAGCCTCAAGATGAGGTATAACATGCTATTTTTCGAGAGAAAAATAGAAGTAAATGAGTTGTCCTATCTTTGTAGCTTAGCTACTAGAATGGACCAACTAGCATCAGCTTTTGAAATCACTATTTAAAAGTCCACCAGTCACTCTAAAATCTGGTAGATATAACTAAGTTTATAAAATAATCTTTTAAATAAGGTATCTATTATATATTAAAGACCATTAGTTTTTAGCTATAAATAAAAAAAATTTAGTATGTGCTGTATCACATCCAAATAGTTGAGCCAAAAGGATACATATTAGTTTGACAGTTTAGCATTGAAGCAATTTTTCTAAAAACAATAGCAGTAAAGAAATGACTTAGGTAGTCCACATGCTAATTGACCCACTCTTTTACAGGTTGTATTTTCCAGAAACAAATCTCAAATTTACAGTGTTTAGAATGCTTTAGAGAACAACTATTATAGAGTGGAGTAGAAATAAGATTATGTTACAAATACAGACTGGCCATGATACTCCATTCAGTGTATTATAAGCTCTGAGATTACAAACTATACCATTGGAATGGTTTAGTCTTAGGTTAAAATGGTGGAATTACCTTTGACCTCATCAGTCATAAGGTGTAGGAGTACCATGGCCTTGGGCCAGTAATGACTCCTTTTAGGAGCTTCCAGGTTAATTCTGGGGACTTAGAAAAATCTTTCAATGGATATTTATTAAATCATCCATCATATTAAATATTCAAATGTCGAGTGATTTAAAATACACATATAACTTTGTGTTGCATGTTAAGTTTCTTCTTCTCAAAAGCTAATTATGTTGAAATCATACATATGCAAAATACATACAGAAGATGGTGACATATACACCTATAGTAGGACTTAATTATATAGTTTTTGTGTGTATATATATATATACTCACATAGTGCATTGACCAGACATTTGTATTGAAATGTATGCAACTCACTTCCATGAGAACCAATTTCACCTTCCTATATACATTAATATCTATCTAAAGTAGTAGCAGGAGGGGGGCAGATCCAATGAAGAAAGTATATAAGGATGAATATATTTGAAACAAGTTATGTGTATATGTGAAAACAGAACCATGAAATCTGTTGAAATTGTTTTAATAATTGGGGTTGGGATGGGTAGAGATGGAGGGGGGAAGGTTAATGGGACATATTCTATTTATGTATGAAATGTCACAATATAAGTAACTAATATATACTAATAAAATATCTTTTAAAAAGTCAACAATTGTCTATTTTATTCAACACTGAGGACTTTGTCAGTCTTATTTATCACCATATTCTAGATACAAGGAACAGTTGCAGAAACATAGTAAGCTTTCAACAAATCAATTGGTAATAGTTTTTGCTTGCCTACACATGTGTCCTCTACTATTCTGTGTATTGAAAACTTTTTTAAAAAATGAAAGCTATGTACATATGACCAGATAAGATGTTTAAGCGAAATGAATCCCAAGATAGAGACACAAGTGGTTTTTTCTTTCTTGCTATTGTTTCTAACGTATTTATAAGGTACCATGTGATTTTTTGTTGTTGTTGCTTTGTATGTTCCTCCCCCATGGTATAACCCCAGTTTTCACTGTATTTGATGTCAGTGCCCTACATCTTGAAGGTATACTTCTCTAATTTGGGGAGGGGAAGGGGAAAAATGCTTAAATATGGATGCAGGTTGACCCATTGTAACAGTGAGATGCACAAGATACTATGTTGAAAAATGAACATTTGAATTTAGGCAGGGGATGTGGGGCGGGGGTGAAGAGTAGTTGTGGAAGTGGGAGGGAAGGGATAGTAGGGGAAAAACAAAGGAGGAGGTAACAATGCTTGTTAGGAAATGTACTCATTACCTTGTTCATGTAACTGTAACCCCTCTGTACAATATTTTTACAATAAAAATATATAAAATGAATTCTAAATATTTTGTGTACTTGACCAGATATTGTAACTTATCCTACTATATTCCCACACTGGAAGAATCTATGAACGCTTGGCAGCCAAAATAGTTCTCCAATGATCTCAAATGGATACAGCAAATGCTGCTAAATGCCTTCTGGGCATAAATGCTAGGAGTTTTACATAGATAAAATGATCATACATAAGCATTGTAAGATAGGTATTGTTATCATATTTGTTTTAATTGAGCAGAAGCAAAATGGAAGTCAGATGATTCACACCTGTATAGTAAATGGTGATAACAGGGTTTGATGAGGTATAATTATGAATGGGAAAATCTACTCAGTATATCATCTTCGGGACAACATTCGCATTGGCTGCATAGTTTACAGTGGGAAGGAATGTGCATTCAGTAGTCAGAATAAAT